AACTGAGCAAGGTGGCCCCTGTGGAGTGGAGGAAGGGAACAAAGACCCTCAGAGATGGGGACAGACACAAGCTCAGGCAGGATGGGACTGTGTGTGAGCTGCAGATCTGTGGCCTGGCTGTGGAAGATGATGGGGAGTACTCCTGTGTGTGTGGGCAGGAGAGGACTTCAGCTACACTGACCATTAAGGGTAAAGATCGTGTGTGGCCACAGAACCTGTGGCTTGGTGTCTACATGTTGTCTCTCAGCACTGCTCTGTGCTCCATATGTGGTGACCTGTGGCCATCTGTCCTGTAACCAGGGTCCTCTGGGAAACTCCCACCTTCCTTTCTTCTTGTCCAGGAAGTGTTCTCATATTAACATCCACCCCTTGGCCTTCTGTATTCCTTGGGACATTTTCCTCCCTCACCATCTGCACCTTCATTCACCTGTTCACGTGGTCTTTTAGCAGTGTTTGTGTGTGTGTGTGTGTGTGTTTTCTGTGTCCCGTGCACAGTGTTCCCATGTTCTTAGTGACTATTATCCGTTACCTATTCATGTGGTCCTTTGGCAGTGTATGTGGCTTTGTGGATTTCATGTGTTAAGCAGAACTATCCAAACAGTCCTGTGTTCTCTGCTTGCTCCTTCTCAGTCCTTCCTGCCAGATTCATAGAAGATGTGCAAAGCCAAGAGTCCACGGAAGGGGCTACGGCCACATTGCGGTGTGAGCTAAGTAAGATGGCCCCTGTGGAGTGGAGAAAGGGAAAAGAAATCCTCAGAGATGGGGACAGATACAGCCTGAGGCAGGTTGGGGCTGTGTGTGAGCTGCAGATCCGTGGCCTGACTATGGCAGATGCTGAGGAATACGTGTGCATTTGTGGACAAGAGAGGACCTCAGCCAAGCTGACTGTCAGGGGTAAAGACCTGTGGTCATGTGACTTATTTGGGTTTTGCCCTTGCCTCGTGTCCAGTCCTGGCTGTTGCTGTTTCTGTTCTCCAGGGCTGCTCTCTTCCCTTTGCCTTATGCTTTATTTCTCTATTCTGTCTGATCTTCACATTGTCTCTACCAATTCCCCCTGCCCCGTGACCCCATTCAGCCAGTTGTCATGGTAGGGACAGAATTTCCACCTTTGCTCTCTCCCGCCCATTTTTTTGTCATCCTTAATTTGAGTCTGTGCACACTATGCTCAGCCCAGTATTCTCTCTTGGGGGAAGGGAGGAATCTCTTAATGCCTAGGGAGGGGAGGTGGTCCCCCAGACTAGGCCTTGCACTCTGTCCCTGATTCCCAGTGTGGCCATGTGGAATAATCAGTGCCTGCCATACCTCACTGTCTCAAGGGCATGGGGAACAGAGTCCTGCCTAGGTCTGAGGGACACAGTTCTGTCTTCATGTTTGGGGGACCTGGCTCTTTCCTAAGGTCTGAGGGACAGAGCCCTGGCCTGGGATCTGAAAGATGAGGAGGCCCTGTTCTGGGGCCTAAGGTACAAGGCCATGTTCAAGGGTCAGAGAATGACATGGCCCTGCCCTAGCCATATGTCTGGCTTTGATTCTCTTCCAGGTGATCTGAGAGGAGTGCTCCACCCCCCTATCCCAGGGTCTCAGGGACACAGCCCTGCTGTGTGGCTGGAGTTTCTTAGTGGGAGGCCAACATAAGAAAAGCCAGGGTCATATCTTGATCCCCATCCCACCACCTCCAATATCTTTCATATCCTTTAAATCCATCCAGATCTATTCCCCACTCAACCTCTGGCCAATCATGAGGCAACTGGTCCTATGGAGGTAGCCAAGGGACCGAAGGGAAGGCTCACTCTCACTTTGGCCAGCTGTGCCTTGGGGTAACCCAGATTCAGGTCTTGAGCTGACCATGCACCCCTTACCTTCCTGCAGCCCCACAGGTGGTGTTCCAGGAGCCACTGCAGAGCCTGCAAGCAGAAGAGGGTTCCATGGCCAGCCTGCAATGCAAGCTGTCTGTACCCAATGCTGCTGTGGTCTGGAGCAAGGGTGGTCTAGAGCTGCAGCCTGATGTGCGCCGGGAGCCACGACAGCAGGGCTGCATTGCAGAGCTGGTGCTGCGGGATGTGCGCCGTGAGGATATGGGTGAATACAGCTGCACCTGTGGCTCCCAGGTCACGAGTGCTGTGTTCACAGTCACAGGTTGGCTCCGAGGTTGACCAGCCTCAATGTAAGGGGTGGGGGGGGCACAGTATCCATGCTGACCCTCATGGCTTCAGCCCTATCCTCAGGGTCCCAGCTAAAGAAACTCTGCTCAGTGGGTTGGATTGGAACTGCGCTGAGACTCCCCGACCAGTAGCTGGGCCCCTGCAGTTCCTCCCTGGGCAGTCCTTGTGTTCCTTCATTCTATACCTTCTCAGTGACCTACCCTCACACACTCTCCCCTCCGTGGTAGGTTTCCCCTGGCACTCTAATGTTACTTAATTTCCCCCCATTAAGAGTGCTGCCTACCCCCTGTAGTTGCCTCATGTAGTTTCTTTCCATGTTGGTAGCTGCACCCTGGAGGTTTTTCCCCTGTACCTCCTTGCTACTCCTGTGCACTTTTCTCTGCCGTAGCACCCAAGATCTCCCTTTGGGCTCTCTACTCTCCCTAGTAGCAGGGGTAACCCCACTGTCCCTTGCAGTTCATCAACTCTCCATGGCTGTGCTCTCTGGTTTTGGCTGTGGGTCTGTCTGTCTGGGTGTGGTTCACTGCCTGCTCAGGGAACATTACATTCCCTGTAATGCATCTCTGCATTAGCTGCTTAGGGACCTCCTCTTATGTTGTCTTTCCAACTCTGCAGCTGCACCCGTGAGGTTTCTCCAGGAGCTACAGGCCCAGGAGGTAGATGAAGGAACCACAGCACACCTGCGCTGCAAGCTGAGCCAGGTGGCTGGAAGCGTGGAATGGCGCAAAGGCTCTCTGCAACTCTTCCCCTGCACCAAGTACCAGATGGTGCAGGAGGAGGCAGGTGTGGAGCTGCTGGTGCATGAAGTTGAGCAGGAGGATGCAGGTGACTATACCTGTGATGTGGGTCACATGCAGAGCACGGCCAGGCTTACAGTTCGAGGTGAGCTACTTGTGGCCCTAAGCTGCCCAGCCCCCTCCTACCCTATGGCAAGGGGCAGGGGCCTCTTCCCAGCAGGGAAGGGATGCTGTGGCTCTAAGCATCCCTTTCTGGCCTTTCAGCCCCCAAACCCAAGTTCAAAACTGGACTGAAGAGCACAGAGCAGGAGGCAGGTAGTGTGGCCCGGCTGTTTTGCCTGTTGAGTGAGGCTGATCCAGGGGCTCCAGTGCAGTGGCTCAAGGAGGGCGTGGAGCTGCATGTTGGCCCCAAGTATGAGATACGATGTCAAGGGGCTATGTGTGAACTGCTAATCCATGGGCTGGAAGCCAAGGACGCTGGAGAGTATGCCTGTGTTGTGGGTGGCCAGAAAACTTTGGCCTCCCTCAGAGTCAAAGGTGAGTCAGCAGGATTTCCAGAGAGGAGGGTGAGCCCTCCCTTCCACATCCACTCCCTTAGAGCTCCCCTGGGGCACACCTGGTTGTACCAGTTGAAGCTCACAGGGCGGCCAAGTCCCCCTCAGTTACAGATCTCTTCCTACTCATTCCTATACCACTTCTATGCTAATCCTTCAAGAGAAAGGCCACTCTGCCTCCTGTATCCCAGCTGCCGGTGGGGGGGTGGCCCGGCCTGACCTGGGAAGCCCTCTCCAAACTCCTGCCTGTTCCTCCAGAAGGTCTTGCATCCATGGTGACCTAGTTGGAACAGGGCTGGCAGCAATGTTGTGGCAAACAGAGCATCCACTGTCCTGCAAACAGAGCTGTCCCCTTGGTCTATGGGGAGCAATGAGCCCCGGGTCCAGTTTCTATGTTTGTGAGCCCAAGAGGTGACATGCCATATGGGGTAGCAGAAGAATGTTAGAGTGGCCAGGTGGGCTTCCTAAAGGAGAGGGCATGAGTGCTTGGTACAGGCTAGTAAAGGGGCCTTTCTCACCCTGCTCCCCAGAGCCCGAGGTGACCATTGTGCGAGGACTGGTGGATGCTGAGGTGCAGGTTGATGAGGATGTGGAGTTCAGCTGTGAGGTGTCACAGCCGGGGGCCACGGATGTGCAGTGGCGCCTCCAGGGCCTGCCACTGCAGAGCAATGAAGTAACAGAGGTGGCTGTTTTGAATGGCTGCACTCACATCCTCCACCTGAAAGGTGTGACCCCTGAGGATGCTGGCACCATCTCCTTCCATGTGGGGAGCCACTCTTCCTCTGCTCAGCTCACCGTTCGAGGTAGCCAGTTGTGGTAGGACTCCCTATTGCCACACCTGACAGGCCCCAACCTGTCAGAGGATAGAGATGGGGTCTGGGAGGGTGGAAGGGAGTTGGCCCCATGTGCTGGCAATTTCCTACGATATCAAGGATGGAATGGTCCTGGGCTGAGTGGCTGAGTCAGGTTGGCAGGCAAGTGGTGGTGGACTTCCCAGAGGCTTGCACAGTATTGGAGCTCAGGTGTCTGCCTTCTGACCCTCACAAGGTGGTGAAGACTGAGATTGTACAGCCTTTGTTATCTCCAAGTTCTCCACTGGTCAGAGTCCAAGCTATGATCTCTGTCTAGAACTGGAGGAGGGAGCTCATAATATACCCCCATGTGTTTGTCTTCGGGAATTGGGATGGGTGTGCCAGGGGAGAACACCCAGGGCATGGAAGCTCTACTGAATGAAGGGGCATCCCAGAGACTGATGCCCATGCCTTCTCTATGTCCAGTCCCTGAGGTGACCGTTCTGGAGCCCCTGCAGGATGTTCAGCTCAGTGAGGGCCAGGATGCCCACTTCCAATGCCAACTGTCCAGGGCCTCAGGCCAGGAGGCTCGTTGGGCTTTAGGAGGTGTGCCCTTGCAGGCCAACGAGATGAATGACATCAGTGTGGAACAGGGCACACTCCACTTGCTCACTCTGCACAAGGTGAGTGTCTGGGACCTGTCTCCACCTGGACATGAAAGGTTCCAAGTACTTTGGGAAAGATCCTCTCCACCAGAGGATTGGGTTGGGCAGGTGATAAGCCCCTGTCATTGGGGGCTAGCAAGAAGAATCTTCCATTCCTGGTTAGGATGGAGTTACCAGGGCCAAGCATCTTTCTCCCTGTCTCCTCAGGTGACCCTTGAGGATGCTGGAACTATCACTTTCCAAGTGGGTTCATGTAGCTCAGAAGCCCAGCTGAAGGTCACGGGTAAGCAGTCCCCTCCCACACTCAGCCCTCTACCTGTGGATGCCTATTTCCCAACACTGCAGCATCTTACCCATCAGCAAAGGGGGCAGAAATCTTAGACTTCAAGCAGTAATTTTGTCTTGGGGCTGTAATTTTCTAACTTCTGGTCATTTAGGACCATGAATTGGAGAAGACACTGGGTTGGGCTGGTGAAGATCTCCATAAGAAATCCTAAGGTGTGGTGCATCTCAGGTCAGAATTGGTATTGTCTGCAGGAGGGAGATGGAGAGCCTGGCTGCTAAGGGGTTGGGCCCTGAGGTTAGACAGTGTCTTCCTGACTTCTATCTTATAAGGCCTACCCCTATGATATAGTCAGACCATGCAGCATTCACATCCACGTTAATACATACCTGCATACTCAACAGGCTCAAGGTGTGGATGAAACAGCATACAGCATCCACTTGTATGGATTTGGGCATAGTGCAAACAGAATTTTAGAAAACTTCAACTAGGACTGTATCTTGCCCTCAGAACCAATGAGTCCTTAGTACTTGGCTTTTAGTGTCCTTCCTTTGCTGTCCTACTCCTAGTTCTTAAACTGTTCTCATCAGTCCACCCATCATCCATCTACCTACCCATCAACCATCTATTCACTACCTACCTACCATCCATCCACCATACACCCATCCATCCATTCATTATGACCATCCATTATCCATTTATCTACCCATTGTCCATCCACCTTCCCCCTAAAACTTCAGGGGTGGTCAGACATGGTCAGTTCTGTGGCCAGTGGGCTGGGAAAGACTACCAAGTGTCAATGCCCTTAAGCTAAGTGATAAAGAGGGAGATTTATGGGTGTCTTGAGTGGGGAAGGGCAGAAATGGTCTATGTTCATTGTGGGATGGCATAGAACTGCAGGCTGTGCTTAGTCCTGCTCTAGGCTAGATGTCTCCAGTCTGGTTGAGTTGGTTCATGTATGGAAACATTGCTGTAGCCTTGGGGAAGGCCCTGAGCACAGGTGTGTGGATGGGCATCCAGATAGGTGTGTGGAGGCCAGGCTTGGGAACTGGTGCTTGAAAAGAGAATGAAGTGTTGACAGAGCAGGAAGTGGAGGTGGTCAGATGTGCTTCTGGAGAAGGTGGTTAAGGGGCATATTGGAGACTGGTGCTGCAATGTCAGTGGGGAAGAGCATGGAGAGGCTCCTGAAGGAGGACTTGCTGGGGTGGGCATAAATGCTGCCCTGTCAGCATTTTCGTTATCTCTACAAAAGGTCCCTACCTGCCCCATTGGGTTCAAGGCATATGGACTCTGGCAAATATGGACAGTTTCTCTGTCTTCATGAGGAGGACCCCAGGGTGGAATACAGAAAGTTCACAGAGAGAAGCACAGGGTGGGGGGTGGCCCCAGGCAGCAGGTGGTTGAAGTCTTTGGTCTTGTCTCACTCTCTGGATTGTGGGGCATGGAAGGGGAGGGTTCATCCATGCAGTCATGATGGCCTAAGAGTGTCATTAGCTCCTCCATCTGCTGTGGCTACTCTGGGTGCCCATCCAAAAGGTGGACAAGATGCAGGAGGACTGTGTGGACAGCACGGGGCAGACAGCATTCATGTGCATGTGGAAAGCCTCCTGAACTTGGACCCCACTATGTGATGAGACAGGGAGTAGTTGGACCCACAATTAAGGTCCTATAGTCAGTCCTAAAGTTGAAGGGACCTTGGAGGACATCTGGACAAAGTATCCTTTTAGAGTGCAAGAAGTATCTGCCTCTATACCCCCACTGATGGAGGGCTCACTTACTGAGGCTGATCCCTGACCCTCTTGGAGCAGCAGGCTCTGGGACATCTCCTTCCTACCCACGCTGGGGCAGAGAAGGCACCCAATGCCAGAAAGAGCCCCACCAATGGGACCTGGGGCTTGTCCATTCTTCTCGGAAGGGATATGTGGGGATGCCTGGTGGTGAACAGGGCTTGTCCATTCTGTTCTGAAGGATGTGTAGGGATGCCTGGTGGTGAGTGGGGGTTATTTTTAGGGCTGAGCCACTTTTCACAGGTCACTGAGGGTGGCCTCAGTGTCTCCTTCTGTGTTTAGGGCCAGCAAGCACATCAGGGTGAGTTTCTAGATCTCAGGTACAGGTCATCCTCCTGGTCTGAGTGGTGTTTCATGCAGTAGACCTCAGGTGGCTCCCAAGCCAGTGAATCTAGCAAATCCTATTTGGGACACCAATTCTAGAGATTAGCACCCGTACTGTTTTTTCCTCCTATACGCTTACAGTACAGAACACTTGACTAGAACAATTCAATGTGTGGGGTTTTCCCACACACCAAGCAATATATGTAATTCAACTCTGACACTACCCAGAGTTGGCACAGACAGGAGGTTCAGACTGACTCCTCCCCATATGCCAATTGCAGATGTCAGGTTGCTACCTATAGTTCTAAGTGGCTATAAGTGGGGGCTCCCATTACCTACCTCAGGTTTGATCGGTTGCTAGGACAGCTCATAGAAGTTAGGGAAACAGTTGCTATTACTAGTTTATTGCGTAAGATACCACTCAGAAACAGCCCAATGAAAGACTAGCAGAGGGCGAGAAATGGGGAAGCGAGCATAGAGTTCCCTCCTGGGCCCACCCTGGGTGTACCACCCTCCCAGCACCTCCATGATCACTAACCATGAAGCTCATCAAATCTTACTTAAGAGTTCATTATATAGAGGTAAATCTCTAGCCTTCCTGCTTTCTGGAGGCTGATGGGTAGGCCTGGATGTTACCACCTTCTAACCACTTGGTCTTCCTGGTGACCTGCCCCTTCCTGAAGCTTCCCTAGGGGCCCCACCTAAGTCACCTCATTAACATAACCTCAGGTGTGAGCAAAGGAGCTTATGAATAACAACACTCCAATATTCAGGAAATTCTGAGGATTTCAGGAGCTCTGTGCCAGGAACTGGGGACAAAACCAAATTTGTTATTTTACTACACTCCTGCACCAGTGACCCCCACCTGACCGACTGCAGGACACCCCAGCCCAGCCCTCCTTCTCGCCCTCCCACACAGAGGCGGCACTATGCCTGGTACATGACTTGCAGAGTGCGGATGTCTTCGCTGGGGAGGTGGCCTCGTTCTCCTGTGAGGTGTCTCGTGCGGGTGGGCCAGAGGCTCGCTGGTGGCTGGATGGCACCCTGCTGCAAGACAGCCCCCAGAGCACCATCGCTGTGTGTGAGGGGACCCTTCACTCTCTTACACTCTCAGGCCTGGGGGTGGCTGACTCAGGCACCATCACCTTCCGCAAGGGGTCTCTGGTCTCCACAGCCAAGTTGTTGGTCAAAGGTATTGGCTAATGGGGACATCTCTACTCTGGTGCTTCTGCCTCTGCTGTGCCTGCATGCTTCTTGCAGGTTCCTGGGAAGCAAGGGGGTGCCAGGGACTGGCCCCCAGGGCCACATACTGGGCATTGTTCTGTGCCTGCCCTTGCCTGTTACTTCCTGAGTGGGAATTCTAGGCTCAGGGAACCATTCATCTGGAAGCTAGCCCTATGCCCACCCGCTGGATGGGGCTTGTGCATGCTGCTCACTTGGCCACCATCTTGCTGGCTGCACATCTCTACCCACAAAGTCCAGTCTCTTAAGGGGGCCTTCCTGGGCTCCTGAAAGAGAAATCCTTGCCCCAGGCCCTGGCCTTGTCTGGGGAATACTGGCATCCCTCACTGTGGGCTCAGTTGGGATCTTGTGCTCTTCTGAAGAAGAGCTAACTAGATAGGTCTGCTAGAGACCCCACTTATCTGCTTCCCAGTAGCTTCACATGGTGCCTTTGCCAACTGGCCTCCTGTGAGAGCTCATAGAAAAAATGGATTATTCATCCAGGTCTTGGGGTGAGCAGCCATTTGTTGAGTAGGATTTCAACAGATGGAGATGAAAAGGGGCCCCAAAGGGGGACAGCAAGGCACTTGGAGAGGGGCAAGCTGGGCTGTGGCTCTAGAATCTGATACAGGGCCTGGGGGCCCCAGGAGGAGTGTTTAGGGGGGATGTGTGTGTTTTCCTTAGACCAGAGGGGCCCAGCCTGGATAGAACTCAGCCTGATAGTACTGTCTGCCATGGGCAGGGGTGAAGCTTGTCTAGTGTGGAGGGTTCTGGGCTACTGTGATGGGTTCCCCTTCCTGGCCAAATGCCAGGCAGCCATTGCTAAGCCATTGCCCACCAAAGCTCTATGCTTATAGCTGCTGAAGCCACTAACACAGCAGAATATGGGTGGGCCATGGTGGTGCTGTCCCAGGGGCTGATGCGTGTCCGGCGTGTTGGCCGACAGATCCCACGGTGGAGGTGGTCAGTGCCATGCAGGACCTGGTGGTGGAGGAGGGTGGCTCAGCTGAGCTCCTCTGCCAATACTCACGGCCTGTGCAGGCCACATGGAAGATGGACGAGCGGGAGGTGTGCACAGATGGGCACCGTGTCATCATAGAGCAGGACTGGACCGTGGCCAGGCTGACCTTCAGGCCAGCCCTGCCCCGTGACAGCGGTATCTATTCTTGTGAGGCTGCAGGCACCCGTGTGGTGGCATTACTCCAAGTACAAGGTGAGGCTACCTGGCAGGCAGCCCCAGGCCCAGCACACCTGTGGTGTGGCTTTGGCTATGCAATCAGCAGAATGACAGGCAGGCAGCAACCATCCTTGTGATACAGATGACCTATACAAGGGGAGTAACCCACAGGTGGCAAGACTGCCCTGCTAGGCACTGAGCTGTAGCTAAGTTAGGGCATACTTTTCATGAGCTTGTGGCTTCTGTGAGAAACACTGGATGTTAAAATTAGCAAGGAGGGGAGAAGAGAAGGGCATCGGTGTGTGTGTGTGTGTGTATGTGTGTGTGTGTGTAGTGTGTCTGAGGAACCATGACAGGTCTAGTAGTCCTGTGTGTGTGTGTGTGTGTGTGTGTGTGTGTAGTGTGTCTGAGGAACTATGACAGGTCTAGTAGTCCTGTTTGGAGGATGTGAAGAAGCGGTGCTGGGTCCAAACCCAGATGCTGCAGATGCCATGGTGGGAATGTGCACACCACTGAGCCTCCAGCTGGAGTTGAGCCCACCCGGACAGATCATAAGTTTCTAGTTTTGTGAACACCTGCAAGGTTTCTCATCTGTGAGGTGGGGGATGCTGCTTTTGGGTGAATTGCCCCAAAAGGGCATGGAGTGGGAGGGGGCTGGGTGACCATGCTACCTTTATGTGAACCATGAGTACTACCCTCCACCACAGCCACTAAGGTGACATTCTGTTTGGCCCTTTGTAGTTTTGGGGGGCTCTTCCAAGAGGTAGTGGTGGGGAATCCTTGGAGGCCTAGACACCCTGAACCCCCCTCTCTCTGCAGCCAAGAACACTGTGGTTCGGGCCCTGGAGAATGTGGATGTCCCTGAGGGTGGCGAGGCTCTGTTTGAGTGCCAGCTGTCCCGGCCTGAGGTGGCTGCCCACACCTGGCTGCTGGATGATGAGCCCGTGAACACCTCCGAAAATGCTGAAGTGGTCTACTTTGAGAATGGCCTGCGGCACCTGTTGCTGCTCAAAAACCTGCGGCCACAGGACAGCTGCCGTGTGACCTTCTTGGCTGGGGATGTGGTCACGTCTGCTTTCCTCACTGTCAGAGGTGATCTTGCTTTGTGGGTGCAGGATGGAGGGACAGGGTGAGGCCCTCCCACAGGAGACTGAGCCTTAGGCAGGGGCCGTTGAGGAGAGGACAGCATGAGGAGAGGATGGCCTCTGAGACTTCTACCACTAGAGGGTCTCTGACACTTCTTGTCCCAGTTCCAAACTGGAGACCGAGTTGGCAACTCACTGGGAGAGAAGGACTAGAGCCTGTGACGGTAGGGACATTAACTGGGGGCTGCCACCCTATAGGTGGGGCAGGAGTGCTGGGGCTGGAGTGGGGTGCCAGGGAGTGGGGAGGTGTCTTTGAGACTCCTCCCACTAGAGGGTCTTTCAGCCCAGGAGAGTTGGGGGTTGGGGCTTCAGACTTTGCAACTCCTTCTATAGGTAGTTGGACCCCTTGGTCTGTAGGGGCACTGGGCTATGGAGTGGAAAAGGGCATAGGGAAGCACGAGAGGGTCTCCAAGACCCCTCCCACTGGAAGCTGTGCAGAGCAGGAGGGATAGGGGTCCTTGGTTTGTGAGGCTTCTCCCACTGTGGGTCAGCTGCTCTCCAGAGGAGTGGGGCTGCAAGTGAAGGTTGTGAATCTCTCCTAAACAGCTCTAGTGTGAGGCTTTGCTGGCTGAGGGAATTGGATGACAGGTGATCTGAGATTTCTCTAACTTGAGACTGGGTTGAGGGGAGGCCTGGTAGGGGCCAGGGGTCTTGAGTTCCTACACTGGAATCCCCTCCCCCTCTCATTTACTTTTCTGCTCTGCTTCTACAGGCTGGCGCTTAGAGGTTCTGGAAGCCCCTCAAGACTTGGCAGTGTGTACTGGAGAGCAGGCCCAATTCACATGCATGCTCAGTGAGGCAGTGCCTGTGGGTGAGGCGACCTGGTACATCAATGGAGCCGCGGTTCAGCCAGATGATTCCGCCTGGTCAGTCACCGTGGATGGCTGCCAGCATGCCCTGCTGCTACACAGTGCCCAGTCCCACCATGCTGGAGAGGTCACCTTTGCTGCCCATGATGCTGTGGCTTCAGCAAGGCTCTCTGTGCTGAGTGAGTGGTTGGCAGGGGTCCCTCCCCAGCAGGTTGGGTCTGGGACAAGCTCCCTTGCAGCTCTTTGGGTGGAAAGACCATCCAGGGCTGGGTCCAATGTGAATCTAACAGACCCTAATTGATGAAGGGTGGTCATTCCATGTGTCCTCTCCTGCTTCTCCGCCCCCACACTCCTGCAGGTCTGAGAGGCCTGCTGACCAGAGCAGATATGAGTGCAGCTCTGGTGGAGTGGGGGAGGCAGGAGGAATGAGGGTCTTCAGTTCATATGCTGCTGGGAACTCTCAGTGTGCACCACAGGTGGGCTCTGGGCACATCATTTCGCTGTGATGCACAAACACACCCCCCTGAGGATTTCTGCAGCATCATTCACTCTCTGAGACAAGCTTGGGCTACTGGGTGGAGTGGCACACAGGTCTCAAGGGAGGTGGCCTGTCCCAGTGCCTATGCCGTGTCCAGTACAAGACCCAGTAGCTACTAGAGGTACTGCAGGTCCCAGTGGATGTTCTGATCTGCTCCCTTCCTTGCAGGCCTCCCTGACCCACCAGAGGATGCTGAGGTGGTGGGTCGCAGTGGCTGCTCTGTGACCCTGTCCTGGGTGGCTCCCACAAACGATGGTGGTGGTGGTCTATGTGGCTATCGGGTAGAAATGAAGGAGGGGTCCACAGGCCAGTGGCATTTGTGCCATGAACTGGTGCCTGGGCCAGAGTGTGTGGTGGATGGCCTGACCCCAGGGGAGACCTACCGCTTCCGAGTAGCAGCTGTGGGCCCAGCAGGTGCTGGGGATCCTGTGCACCTGCCCCAAATGGTCAGGCTCGGTGAGTTACTGCCCTTGGTCCAGGTTCAGGAGAGGGCCCAGCCTGCTAAAGCTGGAGGGAGAAAGGCCTGTAGGGTGGGGCCTGGACCGTGGTGCCCGTTCTGGCTAATGTGACCTATCCATTGTTTGTGGATACTGTTCTCTAGCAGAGCCAAAGGAGCCTGCACTTCCCCTACCTCCAGCCCCTGAGAGACGGCAGGTGGTAGTTGGAGAGAATGTCTGTCTGGAGTTGGAGATGGCGGCTGAGGCTGGTGAGGTAGTCTGGCACAAGGGGACAGAGCGCATCCAGCCCAGTGGGCACTTCGAGGTGGTCTCTCAGGGTCGGCAGCAGATGCTCGTGATCAAGGGCTTCAGAACAGAAGACCAGGGAGAGTACCGCTGTGGCCCTGCCCAGGGCCCAGACTCCACCCAGGCTGCCACCTTTCAGGGTGTGTCCTGGGCTCTGAGGTGGGAAGTCCGGGGGTATGGGGAGGGGGCTGGCCTGGCCATTCTCCTCACCAGCAGTCTGGAGGAAATGTTGAGGGTCTTCTCCATGACCCCACATAACGTGGAGGGGTTGTTTTCCTAGTGCTGGCTTTCCTAAATCTTTGGGCCCTTTATATGCTGAGTCCCCCAAAAGTTCTGAGGTCTCTCTCCCTTGTACTTTGAACCTCCTCTGCTCATTATCCCCCTGCTCTCTTAGTCTTCTCTGTACTTTGAGGCACTCCTGTATGCTAAGTCCTGTCTGTACTCTTATTGCACTCCTGCACTCTTAGCACCCTTGCACTTTGACCCTTCCATACTCTGAGCCCTCTTCTGTTGCCCTGTGCCCTGAGGCCTCCCCCACACTGACAGTCCTGTAGGTTCCCTGTGCTCTCAGACCTTCTGTGTCCTCTGAGCTGTCCAAACCTTGTGCTGAGGCCCCTGGCAACTCAACTCCTCTGTGTTGAGCCCATTCTATGCTCTGAGTTTCATTCTTCATGCTCTGAGCTCCCTCCTGTACTCTGACCTCACCCTGCACTCTGAACACCACTAGTACTCTGAGTACCTCCCTCCTCTGAGCCCCTTCTGTGTTCTTCCCCACTTTCTGAGTAACCCCCCGCTCTCCAAGCACCACCCTGTACTGTTTGTTCCCCCTTCTTTCCCCGGATCTCTGAGCCTGGCCCTATTGCATTCAAGTGCATGCACTCAAGTGCACATATATCCGCCTTGCTATAGTGGACTAATGCTCCTGTGAGTCTGGGCTCCTAGTCAAGCAGCAGGTCCAGAAAGGGCCAGTTTGACTTTGCAGAGCCCTGTGCAGGAGGTAGACTGAGTGGAAACTGGTGTTGGGAGCTGGAGGCTGAGGCTCAGAACCTAAGACCTGGTAAAGGTACTTGGTGCCAGGTGGGGAGCAGAGGTCCAGCAAGGCCCCACTGAGGCCACATACCAGTTAGCAGTGACAGTGTGAATGGAGTCAACAGCTCTATCCTAGTCCACTGACCAGTGTCCTGCCTTCCTCAGTGGTGCTGACCCCAGGCTCTGAGGATGAGGCTGTTACGCAGCCCAGCCTGCCCCCAGAGGCAGCCCAAGAGGGTGACCTGCACCTGCTCTGGGAAGCCCTAGCTCGGAAGCGCCGCATGAGCCGTGAGCCCACCCTGGACTCTATCAGTGAGATGCCTGAGGAGGATGGCCGCGTGCAGCACCTGCGACAGGAGGCAGAGGAGGTGGCTCCTGATCTCTCTGAGGGCTACTCCACAGCTGATGAGCTGGCACGTACTGGAGAGGCTGATCTCTCACACACCAGCTCTGATGATGAGTCCCGGGCAGGGACCCCTGCCCTAGTTACCTACCTCAAGAAAGCTGGGAGGCCTGGGGCATCACCTCTCGCCAGCAAGGTGAGCCTCCTGCTTGGCTTAAAAGTTAAGACATGGGTGTCTTAGACCTTCTCCACCCACTCATGGACCTATCTTCCAACCATCTATCCATCCACCCATTCATCTGTCTACCCACCCATCTATGCATCATCTTTCCTTCCTACTATCTATTGATCTACCCACCATGCATCCATCCATCTATTCTTGCATTCATCCTTCCTTGCATCCATTCATCTGTTCATCTATCCATTATCTGCCCTCCATCCTTTCATCAGTATATCCACTTATCTATCCATCCATCCATCTGCCCATCTGTCCACTCATCCATCCACCATTTATCATTCCTGCACCTGCTCACCTGTTTAATACTTTATCTATCAATCTATTCACTCAGCTATCACCCATCCACCTATCCATCACTCTACTACCTACCACTCTTGTAACTGTTTACCAGTTTACCCATTTATCTTCCAGTTTGTTTACCAGTCTTCCAACTCATAGAACCATCCTTTGATACCCCATCTATCCATCCCCCATCCACCATTCATCCACCTACCACCCACACATCCACTCCTTCATTTATCCACCATTTATTCATCCATCACTCCTATATTTGTTCACCTGTTCATCCATTTATCTGTCAACCTGTTTACCCACCCATCTACCCATCTGTCTGTCCATCTACCCACCTGCCCATCTGTCCATCCACTCATTCATCCATCCATCCACCACCCATTCACTCATCCAACCATTCATCTATCTGTGCATTTTTTATCCATCCATCCATCCACTTACCTAGCTAAAACTTTTTCCTGAAGATCTGAAAATGGCCCCTCTTGTGTTTCTTACAATGCTGTTAACCCCCACCTGGTTGACTGTATAAAGGGAAGTTGACTTGCTTTTGGGTAGCAATAGGAGCTAGCAGTCACCTGGGCTCCGTTGAATGGAGTCCAGGAGTAAGACCTGGCATTGGGGCCCTGACTCTGTTCCTGGCCTCAGTTTCCCTTCCATACCATGATGTCACATTCCATGCCCACAGGTTGGGGCCCCAGCATCTGTCTCTGTGAAGCTACAGAAGCAGCAGGAGCAACCAGCCACAGCGTACCCACCTCCAGGTGACTTGAATGCTGTGGACTTGGGAGATTCCTCCATGGACAAGGCAGCAGTGAAGATCCAGGCTGCCTTTAAGGGCTACAAGGTCCGGAAGGAGATAAAGCAGCAGGAAGGGCCTGTGTTCTCCCACACATTTGGAGATACTGAAGTACAGGTGGGGGATGCTCTGCGGCTGGAGTGTGTAGTGGCCAGCAAGGCAGACATTCGGGCCTGCTGGCTGAAGGATGGTGTGGAGCTAACTGATGGACGGCACCACCACATCGACCAGCTTGGGGATGGCACCTGCTCTCTGCTAGTCACTGGTCTGGGTCATGCTGATACTGGCCGCTACACCTGTCAAGTGAGTAACAAGTTTGGCCAAGTGAGCCACAGTGCCTGTGTGGTTGTCAGCGGGACAGAGAGCGAGGCTGAGAGCTCCTCAGGGGGTGAGCTGGACGATACCTTCCGCCGGGCTGCCCGGCGTCTGCACCGGCTCTTTCACACCAAGGGCCCATCTGAGGTTTCGGATGAGGAACTCTTCCTCAGTGCAGATGAGGGCACTGCAGAGCCAGAGGAGCCTGCGGACTGGCAGACATACCGAGAAGATGAGCATTTCATCTGCATCCGTTTCGAGGTGCTCACTGAAGCCCATCGGGCAGTCACTTGCTTCCAGGAGATGTTTGCCACCTTGGGCATTGGAGTGGAAATTGGCCTTGTGGAGCAGGGGCCCCGGGGGGTGGAGATGCGCATCAGCAAGGTGGCCCCTGCCCCCACCCCTGTGATGCCTCTGGAGCCTGTACCCAGCCTGCTGACTTCTGATGCTGGTGAGTCTTTGGTTGGGGTCCGGAACTAGGGTCCAGAGGTAGGGTGGAGGAGTAGAAGGAGTAAGGCTGGCAGACCTCATCTGTTCTTTGTGGACTCCTAGCCCACACAGCCTTACCTCTTCTTTTTCTACCCTTTTCAGTTTTCCATCCCTCTTGTTTCATGGTAGCTTGGGAACCAAAAGGAATTCTTAGAGAATGAGGAAAAGGGAGAAGCTTAGTAGGCAAACTTCAGAGTATGTCAGGGCCTGAGCACTCCTGGGTGAATAGCTGCCATGCAGATGTGTGTCAAACTTCCCATCTGTTGGCAACTTGAGGTATAGGAAGCTGTGTGTGACCAGCACACCCAGGATTAACTCATTGCATGCCTGGCCTGCCTTTTCCAGCCCCAGTATTCCTGACAGAGCTCCAGAACCAAGAAGTGCAGGATGGCTACCCCGTGAGCTTTGACTGTGTAGTGACAGGCCAGCCAGTGCCCAGTGTGCGTTGGTTCAAGGATGGGAAACTGCTGGAAGAGGATGACCACTACATGATCAATGAAGACCAGCAGGGTGGCCACCAGCTCATCATCACGGCCGTGGTGCCAGCGGACATGGGTGTCTACCGCTGCCTGGCTGAGAACAGCATGGGTGTCTCCTCCACCAAGGCTGAGCTCCGCGTAGAGTGTGAGTGCTACTCTGGTGTGGGGTTTCTTGAGCTGGGCTGGAGGGTGGTCTGGAAGGCACTGGTCTTGGGCTAGGCAGGATTGGAAGCTTCAATGTCTTATGCCTAGGGGAAAGGAGACTTTTCTGGGAGTTATAACTAAGACCAGAGTTCCCCTCAGGAGCCTGTTAGGGTGGAGGGGTAGAGGAACTCATGTCTGTTAGAGGTGTCCCAGCTGGAAAGAAGCCTGGGAAAGTTTGGATGTGGAGGCCATGAATGATGAGGAAGGGTGATCCTGGACTCCCCCAACTATTCCCTCAGAGTTCCTCTTGGGAGACCTTAGATGGCTCAACTAGAAAGCCCCTTGGGAGAAGCTCAGGGATCACTGTACCTAGTAACTAGTACTGTGGCATCATAAGAAATATGTATTTAATCTTTGTCCCTGATTCTTAATACAGAGGTCCTAAATCCCTTGGGATTTCCGAGGGCTAGGAACATCTTTTATTATCATGAGGTAATTCTGGGAGATAGCTTCAGGGTGGGGACTGGTGGTGACCAGAGAGACCAGATCTTGATGAGAGGCCTGAAACTTTCAGCTCCTATCTCCCATCCTCCAGAGATGGATACATGAGGGAGCTGCCATTAAAAACAATAAACTGTGGGCTCAGAGAGCTTTTGGGTGGTAGGATACATGGAGGTGCAAGGAGAATGGTGCCCAGGAAACATTGTGCCTCTGTCTCATACTTTGCCCTATGCATCTCTCCTTTTGCTCTTCCTGCGGTCTGTCCTTTGTAATAAATCAATCATCATAAGTGAAGCTCTTCTCTGAGTTCTGTAACCTACTCTAGAAGATTACCAAACTTGACAAGGAGGTGGTGGGATCCCTGATTTATACCTGTTCTGTCAGAAGTACAGGCAGACAGCCCTACCTTGTGACTGGTCTGTGAAGTGGGCTGGCTTGGGAACTGAGCCCTCTGCTTGTGAGGTCTGATGCTGCCTCTAGGCAGAGTGTCAGACTGAATTGAATTAGAGGATACCTAGCTGTTGTCCACTGTGGCAGAAATGACTGCTTGCTGGTGGGGAGAAATCCCCATACCTTATGGGGTGACAGAAGTCTTCTATATTGATTTTCATCATATGAAAACAGAGTGGAAACCCCATTTTTTCCTACACAAATGTCTCTTTAAACCCTTTGACCATTTTAAATTGGATTACTTATCATTTTTGAGTTGTAAAGTTTTTTTTAACATATTCTTGATACTAGACTTATCAAATATACAATTTTCAAATATTTTCTTATTTTCTGGGTTGTCTTTTTACTTTCTTGATAGTGTGTTTGAAGGCACAGAAGCTTTTTTTTAATTTTGAGTAAGTCCAGTTTATCTACTTTGGATGTGTTTGATATACTTGGAATTAATTTTCATATATGGTATGAGGTAAGGGCCCAAAGGGTCTCACTATGTAGTCCAGCCTGGCCTCAAAACTCTTGATTCTCCTGTTTTATCTTCCCAAATGCTGAGATTATAGGTATATACCACCATACCAGGACCAATTTCACTGTTTTCGTGTAGGTATCTTGTTCTAGCACCATTTGCTGAAAAAAGGCTAATTTTCCTTTCTTATCTTAGAAATCTCCTAAAAAGTCGATTTCCTCTAAATGTATAGTTTTATTTATGGACTCTAATTTTATTCCATTGACCTAAGTGTCTATCATTATGACAGTGCATAATTTGATTACTGTAGCTTTGTGGTGGGTTTTGAAATTGAGAGTGAATCCTGCAGCTTTTTTCTTGTTCTAGATTGTTTTGACTATTCTGAATTCCTTACAATTTCATGACTTTTAGGGTAAGCTTGCCAATTTCTGCAAAAAAGGTCTCTAGATACTTTTTAAGGTTTTCTTTTTATTACTGACTTTGAATAATTTGATTACAATGTTCACTGGCATGCTTTTCTTCATGTTCCTTGTATTTAGAGTTTGTTGAGCTTCTCAGAAGTTTGGATTTATAAGTTTTTCTTAAGCTTGGATTTTTTTATCTTTTGGTGGTACTAGGGTTTGAACTCAGGACCTCACGCTTGCTAGGCAGGCTCTCTACTACTTGAGCTACTCCACCAGCCCCCTTTTTTTTTGACTGGGGGAGGTATTGGGGTATTTTCAAGATAGGATCTCACAGACTATTTGCCCTGGATAGCCTTGAACCATGATCCTCCTAATCTCTGCCTCCTGAGTAGCTGGAATTTCAGGTGTGAGCCAGCAGTGCCCAGCTAAATTTGGATTTTTTGTGACCATTATTTCTTTCGGTATTTTCTCTGCCCGCCATAATTTGGGAACTTCACTTATACATTTATTAGGCCACATGACTATATGTCATGAATTAAAGTCTCTGTCCCTTTCTCTCTTTGTGGTGTTGGGGTTCAAACCCAAGGCCTGTACATGCTAGGCAAGTGCTTTACCACTGAGCTACATCCTCAGTCTTCTTTACTTTGTACAGTTCTTTTTTCTATATTTTATCTTGGCTAGTTTCTATTAGTATTTTTGTAATATGTACTTTGCTAATAACCCCATTCCTTGCATTTTTCTTATCTAGAAGTTCTACTTGAGTCTTTGTAACTTTTTGAACACATGGAATGCAGTTCTAATAACTGTTTCAGTGTCCTCCTCTGCCAGTATTAAAAATGGGTCAGTTCTGGGTTGGTTTTGATTGATTGATTATTCTCTACCTTATGGGTCATATTTTCCTGCCTCTTTTTGTGTCTGGTGATCTTTGATTGGATGCCTGACGTGGATTTTACTAAGTTGGAAACTGGATAGTTTGTGTTTCTACAGAACTTCTTGAATTGTGTTCTGGTGTTGCAGGAGGGCTCAGACAGAGACTGAGAGGGCACAAAATTTTCAGGAAGCAAGTTTATTAACCAAGCCGGCAGTGATTCAGTGGATTCGTGTCCAAAGGCTGAGCCCAGAACAAAGCGGGCTTTCCTTATATATCATTTACAGAAATGAGGAGTATAACTTGTCCTATGCATAATCACATGTTATTTCATTGGCTGTTTTAACCTTTGGTCTCCAGGTAACATTCCCAACTCCAGCTTTCCTTTGTTTTACTGTAGCACTCATTAATCTCTCTTCCTGCTCCCTTCCTTCCTGCCATATTCCCCTCTTTTATGCTCAGACTCACTTCTGGGTCCAAGAGCATCATCTTGATAAAGACTGCAGTACCAGGGGATTAGGCAGGGCAATGTCAGGCATGCTCTTAAGATAAGGAACATTGTCCCTATTAAGGTCTTGAACCCACCTAGGGTTGAGAACCAGTCCCTGAATAGATCACTGGGGCTCCATCCCTTTCAGGTCTGCATGGGGACATGGGCAAACTTTTTCATCTTGTCATTAAACAGCATCTATTCAGATTGAGAATTATTCCTGGCTATTGTAGCCAGCGGGTGAGGTTGGGACTCCATGTGATTCAGACCCCCCTCATCATTGAGCCTCCTGAGTAGTGTCATTGTAAAACTTTTGTCCCAGCAAATCAAGTCCCCTGCCAGGGTGGGAGATTGGCCTTTTGGATGGGAGATACAGTAATTCGCAATAACAGAGGTTTTCAGGAGCCAAATGCTCTCCCTGTGCTGAGAGAGTGGTTTCATTAAAGGGCTCTTGTGGGTGTAGCTCTTTTGCCTCCCATGATGGTTTTCTCATATTCGTTTCTCCACAAACATAATACAAAATTACATTTACAGTTTGAGCTATAGACTCAGCTAGTGAGAGGAACAGGTTTTGGTTGTAACTGAGATGGAAAACTCACTTGTATCTCCTCGTAAAAGGAGTGAAAGAGCTGGTATGAGGAAGTCTGATGAGTGATCATGATGAGTTGAAAATGCAGCAAAGTACTTGGAGTCTGTTTTCTTTTTACAGATTAAAACGTCAACTTTTTCTCAACTTCCCAGCCTGTTTCACTGAGGTTGAAAATAGTGAAATTTATAGGGTTACAGGCATCAAGAGTGCAGTCTGGGCTGCTTCCCTTTTTTGTAAAAGGGACCCTCCCCTTTTAGCAAGTTGCCCACCTTTCAAACCCCATAAGGGTAGTAGAGTTGTTCATAGTATGCACAACCAGATGTCCCAGTCATATTCTGGGCATATATACTTGTCATTAACCTCTTAGGTCCTTCCCAGCTAGTCCCCCGCAGTTGCCCTAAGGCCTGGTTGTTTTTAGCTATTGTGAACACAGGTTTGTTGGGGTTGGACCTCTAGTTCATTGCTCCTGAGAGTGATAGATGGGGTTAAAACAAAATATACTGGCCATGATGAAAGCACACTGAGTAGGTGGTATGGTTGTGGGTGCATGACCCAGCAATTGTGCCTGCACAGAAATAATAATATGGAAAACCAGAGTTTTGGTAACAGCGCTCCCCACTCGGGTAGTCTGCATACATGAGTCACAGTTTAAGGCCTGCGGGTCCCCAGGTAGAGAGCTGACCAGGATTACTAAGAGAATACATGGAACAGACTCGTCCTCAAAGGTGAGATGAATGACTCCTCAGGCTTCTGCCAAACGTAGACTAATCAGCTTCCGGAAAAGACTAGAGCAGGGCTTATATCTTGTCGTCTGGGGTCTCCTGGGAAGCAGTGTCCTGCTGGGGGAAGATGCTAATTTTTTTTTTTTAACTTTCAATCTTTTATTTTATTTTTTATTTATTTTAATTCATTTATTCATATGTACATACATTGTTTGCACCATTTCTCCCTCCTGCCCCTGCCCCTTCCTTCCCCTTTCCCCTTTGCTTCCAGGCAGAAACCTGTTCTGCCCTTTTCTCTAATTTTGTTGAAGCGAAAGACATAAGCAGTAATAAGAAAGACATAGCGTTTTTGCTAGTTGAGATATGATACCTATACAGAGAGATTCCTAGCATTGCTTCCATGCACCAGTGTATTTCAACCCGAATTGATTCATCTCTACCTGACCTCTGCACTACTTCCCGGTTACCTTCCTGTATTGACTGCCATCATTTTAAGGTTACTTTATTAACTCCTCTGCCGTGGGGACATCAAACACTTTCAAGTTTTGAGTTCCCTACTTATCCCCATTCCTCCCACATGTAATCTCCCCTTAGCATGTGACCTAAGTCCAACAACATTGCTGCATTTGCCCTAGATCTAAAGTCCACATATGGGGGAGAACATATGATTTTTAGTCTTTGAGCCTGGCTAACTTCGCTCAGAATGATGTTCTCCGGTTATATCCATTTACTTGCAAATGATAAGATTTCATTCTTCCTCATGGCTTAATAAAATTCCACTGTGTGTAATGACCACATTTCCTTAACCCATTCGTCAATAGTGGGGCATCTTGGCTGTTTCCATAACTTGGCTATTGTGAAGAGTGCTGCAATAAACATGGGTGTGCAGGTACTCAGGAGTAACCTGATTGCATTCCTTTGGGTATATCCCCAGGAGTGGATTGCTGGATCGTACAGCA